ATCGTGCGCGCTCCAACCAGTGATGGGAATATTTTATATCATAAGTGGCGACGTCCAACGTATTTCCATACCATGGAAGATCGAGAACAAACTGAAAAGATATATGCCGGAACATTCACTAGATTTGTTTGAGTAAAGTACTAACGAAAGAAGAGCCTCTATAAATACTTTCAAAGACCCGAGAGAAGGACGAATAAACTAAAATACCTGTTAGTGTACTGCCACAYGATATGGAACTCATTGTACGCCTCACCGTCAAAACTAACTCGATTTTTATCATTGCAATCAGGTTCGTGTTCAACTGGGAAACCATAAACGATAGCCGTAAAAGCAATATAACCTTAAATACTCTACTAATTGCTGCAAATTCTAGTAAAATGGTTATATAATTTATATTTAGTGAGCTATAAACAAGTCATAAACAATATTTTGATTTTATAATACATAATCGGCCTCGGCAGCTTAAAATGCTGAACCCGATTGAACTACGATCTCCGGGCTATGGTGGGTCGGAAAAGGTTTTAAAAATAGCCCAAAAAATTCTTTAGCATGCACAAAGAAAAAAAACAAAACAGAGCAAAGACCTCTTACCTCGGCTTGTACAGAAGATTTCTCTCTTAGTTTTTAAGCACTAATACATCTACAAGTTAAACATTATTTTTACAGTGTTTGTTTTTGGTAAAGCAGAAGGATTAATTTGATAAGCTGTCGGATAAAGGGAAATTATATATTAGCTTGTATGACTARGTTTCTTGGTAATCAAGATTTACTTACTGGTATGTCGACCGTTATTTTGCATAATTATAAATAATCGCCTTCTGACAGCTGATTATAGCTTTAATATGATATAGCGCGTTTTTGTTAAAGAAATTGTCAATACAAGATGGAAATCTTTGAAAAGATATCCAGCTTTGCATAATCATTTAGTTGAGAGCTAGAGGTGTTACACTTTGGGAATCTAAGTTCTTGCAAACATTTTTTTGTTTAAGTTTATGCTCATACATAAGCTTAATTTATTTTAATGCTGGAGGAAATATAACACGGAGAGCATATTAAAACAAATATTCGTCCTTTATTCAGCTTTGTAAATCTTTAACAATTCGGTTGTTTTAATCAACTATGTATGTTTTTCGTTCAAGAAAAAGCAACTTCGCCTCCTGTCGCGGGGTCCCATCGGCAACTTATATTTGATTTATTTAAATATTAAATGGCTTATAAAAATTACACCAAATATTCACCATTTATTGAGGTTTTCCAGCTAGTRTGATTATACACTTGACTTGAAGGTTTTCCTGAAGGAGCCTTGGGTTGTGGTTCATCTTTTGCTTAATGGACCAAATCCATTTGGACGCAATGTTTTGCCCATTTCGAACCACATATCACTCTCTTCAGAATAAGATTCTTTGTTTGAGTTGTATCCATATTTATGTGTCTTCTTATGTGCAACCGTTAAACAAAGAAATAAACTATAGGGAATGACACGTGATCTGAAATGGGAAAACAGTGGATAAGGCATATTGTTGATTCTGAGATATCTTGTAGCGCCTCTTT